AAGAGGCTGTCCAGGGAGGTAGTGGAGCCACCATCCCAGGAGGGATTTGAGAGATGCGTAGCTCTGGAGCTTAGGGACGTGGTTCAGTGGTGGACTGGGCAGTGCTGGGTTAACAGCTGGACTTGATGATCTTAAAGGCCTCTGCCAACCTAAATGATTCCAATACTATCGTACTGTACTATCGCTGCACTTTTCACATTCCTTAAGGTATTTCAATTACTATAACACTACCTGTTGAGGAGGAGTTATGCTTTCCTGCTCATAAAATTCTGTTGTCTGTTTAGGCTTAATCTGCAGACTCAGTCCTTTTTCAAAGGCTTGATGTTCCAGCATCAGTGTAGAACGAAACCAGAGATTGTGAGTTTTACCCAAGTATTTCAGGACACAAGGTCTGATGGGAATGGGAGGAACACACTGTGACATTGCTTCCACAAAGCAATTCAGTGCACTTGGCTGGCAATCTCGCTGCACTTGGTGGCTACCACTGCACAAGAAAGGGCTTATTTCACCTGCTAGAGCCTAGAAGAAAAAACATATAGGATAGTTATCTATTCATTCAGATTCTTCAATTAGAGAATTTAGATATAAAAACTTGTCATACAGGGAAAAATCATTTCTCTTTGTAAACTGAAGAGCCCTATTAATTTCAAACGGCGTACTGATAGAGGTATACAGCATTCACCACTCAAAGAATGGCAAACTTCTCAAAGCAAGTGAACAAGTCATTTACCATACACACATTTTCCTGAAACACCAGTCATTTACAAAGAGGAACGTGTAAGCGAGGAGAGAAAGATTCTCACGTGTTGCTGTCTGTCAGACAAGATTTTCCAAAGTCGTGAAAAAAGCTGTATCCAAGTCTTCTCTGCTAACGGTGTAGAAATATGACATAACTGAACGAAGGCACTCAGCAACGCTCCAGTCTAGAGATAGACAGATGTACATGAATAGGAAAAATACAATTAGTACTGTGGAAAAACAGCTCACAGTTATACAGTTGTTTAAGCAGTATGCAAATGACTTTTCCAATCAAACTATCAAAAAATACATTTCCTTTAGCAATAGAGACTACTGTAGCAAGAATTTAATCCTATTTTCATGTTGACTGAGACTGATTCATTACTGTAACTGTTTAAAAAAAAAAAAAGGGAAAACACAGTTGATGACTTTGGTAATGGGAATGAAGAAGTTAAACAAAAAAGCGTGTCAGGTCAGATTGAAGATTTCAGTATTAAAATAATTCGTCAGGAAACCAACCACCTGTACCAACCTTCACTTCCCGAAGAGAGTCAAGAAATTTGTCATGCCGGTTGGTCAACATGTGCAGCTGATTGCCAATGTCCTTCTCAGAAAGTTCCTTCGTTTTAGGTGTGCTGGTCTGATCTCCTGGAGCCAATTCAATGTCAATTTCAACATCCTGCATGGAAGTAAACAAAACAAAGCATGCAGACATTTAAGTACTTTTGGTTTTATCCCCCAAAAATACAAAATAGCCTTCCAATCAACTTATTTCAGGTCTCACTATTTATTTCTGCTAGTTCTTCAGGTTCAGAGGCAGAACTGCTCTAGTGAAGAAAAGTCTAAATGAATGAATGCAAGTTCTGAGAAGCCAGGCATGGTTAAACTACAATGCCTTAAACACAAGATACACTGAACAATCTGTGCACATCATCTCCAAGACAGTCTCCAAACTTACTTGATGAGAAACTAGGAAGAGCTCTATTGCATCAAAAAGATCTTTTTCTACAGTATTATCTGTAAGTTACCTCTTCCTTGGATTCACTGTTCTCTCTTTCCCGAGGCTCTTGTTTGACATGGGTCACCATCGCAAATGCCGCTCTGTCGTGACTGTCGGCAAGGTTGATAACATTGGTGATAGAGGGCAGCATCGCACCCTGACAGCTCGTCCCAATTGTTGTGTTTCTCTCGCACACTGCCAACAGGAGCTAGGGCAGTTAAAAGCAAGGACAGTTGTTAAATACTGTAGCATTTCAAAGAAAACATCACTATGGCTTAACAGCCATCAACAGCTATAGCTCACCTACAGACAACACATACTACAGGACACACATTGGACAATGCTTTTACACACAGCTAAGAAAAATGGGGAATAAATCATATTTCTAGAATTATAATTGTACTTCTGATCAATTAAATTTCCCTACCTCGATGCACTGTTTTATCCAAAAATGATTCCCCATTGCTTCCCAGTTTTGAGAACAGGTCACATAAAGGAGGCGCTCATAAACACGACGTTTCATAGAATTGTCAAAGACCTCAAAAAACTTGGCTCGTATGAGTGGCTGGGCACAACGCAAACCCGAAAGAAATGCTGGCTCCAGTTTAGCAGTAAGTTCGCTACCAGAAAGGTTCTCATCCCTGAAATGAATCGTGATGAAATAACAGAGACATTAGAAAGAGAAGCCCTCTAGGTTTGCATACAGAATACTAGAAATCGAGAGGTGACATTCTGAGAAGCCCACATGGTGTGGCAGGCATCCTGCTGCAGCATTTTGCGAGAAACAACAAAGAAAATATTGCTGCTTGTTAGAAAACTGACCCAGAACTATCATAAAAACTCTTTCAGGATAAAATCTTATCATAATTGTGAAACAATTTCAGCCATGTCTGTATTTTGGTTGAAATGACAAATAATATTCATTGATAAAACTTCTGACCACCATGTCCACACCAGGGCTTTGCAGTTAACCAGAAAACAGAGCAGCAGCAAACAGCAACTCAGGACAATCTACATCATCAGCACAAAATTATATACTTGGTATTTTTTGACAAGGCACCTTTTCATTATTTTATCATGTTACAAATCCTGCCAGTTTAGCTAGCAAACTAACTGTCCTGAAAGTATAACTTATAACAACTTTCCAAGGGGGAAAAAAAAAAAAAAAAAAAAATTAAAAAAAAATCTTGATACCCTGTGGATGTGAAAAGACAGAATCCACCTGTCACCACAGTGTTTAGAATACAACCACCTAGGAGGATGCCCTGGAATCTTGGGAAAGGAAGAGGTTGCAGGAGTGGAGATAAAGAAAATCCTTTCAAAAGGAACTTCTGTTTTCAAACTCCTTTCCATAAATAGGTATTGTGAACTCAGTGAAATGAATTGGTTTTGCTTTTTAGAATAAAGGGGGAAAAAACTTACTCAATTCAGACCTAAAAAGACTGATGGCATGTTATAAAAGGTCATATATGGTACAAATTATGAACCAATAAGCCGCAATAAATGATTAATTGCTATAATTACCTATAGACATAGTTAACAAGGTCTAAGAACTGGGCATTTAATTCAAGGTCTTCTGGAAAACGCTTTTCAATGTAAGTCATCATTTTCACTAGTAAAATGGACTTCTCCCGGAGAGTAGGTGTCTGTGTTAAAAGAAGACATGATTAATTTTGTCAATTCATCCTAAAACATGCCAAGAACTGGCACATTCAAAGTACACCTCAGCCATCCTTTATATC